CCCCCCCCTCTCTCTCACACACACACACACACAAATATAACAAATGTATAATACTAAGTTATCTCCTTCCTTCCTTCCTTTTTTTTTTTTCCAGAAAGGGTCTTAGTATACTATACATCCATGGCTGTCCTAACTCTCTATTAGCATTAAGTCCTTTTAAAAAAACTAATGTTAATATTTGAAATTATCACCATTGACTGGTAGATTTTTTAGCAGCTTCAACATTTCTTTTTCTGTGAGTTCTATCCCCATCTTTTTAAGAACATTTTTCACATCGTTGATATCGGTCTCTCCTCCTTCAAAACACAAAATAAAATAATTTATAAATACATCCTACTTTTAAAACACTCATAAAAACCATCTCATCTCACCCTATTCCATATTAATTTTACTGCTTCATAAGGAGTAAGGACAGGTGTAATACACACATTTACACACACACACATACACACACACAATTGGATTTGTGAATGAATGTTTTTGCTTAATGCTAGTGAAATGCTTCATTTCATATTAATAAAAGTAAGACAACACGGTTAAACCTTGGTGTGGACTACCAATACACAAGAAAAAGAGACTTACACATACAATTTCCTAGTGAATTGGGACTTTACTGTTCAAGTAAACAAGTTATGTCAGGTTTTTGAACATTTTTAAATAATAAAATCACCTACATCTTTATCAGAGTTTTACTTTATCATTCAATGATTTAACCTAGAATTTTTTTTCCTCCATAGTGAAATATTTTCATGTCATATATAAATATCAAATAACTTTCTACCAAGATACAAAACTAAAAATTTATTACAAAACTAAAGACAATAAAAAAAAACACATTTCTAGGACATTAGATAAATCAGACAAAAAATTTATCATACAAAAGATAAAGTGGTAAGACAAATTAAATATAATTTATAATTTGATTTAGATTAATTTATTACCTGTGAGAGCTTTCACTTCATCCATCAACTTAGTAAGTTCAACCTTCCCATTAGCTGTAAGTAAAGGTTAAAAAAATAGAAAGATTCAGCATAATGGAGAGTTATTCAACCATAAAAAGAATGATATTTCATCAGTTCAAACAAATGGATGGACCTGAAAGAAATCATGCTAAATGAAATTAATCAGAAGCAGAAAGAAAAGTTCTACAGCCCACTCCCTGACCCCCATTCTCAAATGTGTCCAGTTTTTTGTTTTGTTTTTTTGAAAAGCCAATAGGAATCTAAGAAGAGGGACTTCTAGAGGATCTGATGGGTAGAGAGAGAAGGGATAGTTGGAGATTAGATGGTAGGTGTCCACATTCAGATACAACTACGTTCCAGTGTCCTAAGGAACAGCGAGGGGCCTATAGCTCACAAAACCCAAAATTATTTTGTTAATTACTAGAGGAGAAGAAATGGATGGATCTAAACACAAAGTAATAAGAAGAACATGGAAATGCTAAAAAAAAATATAGTATGTATTATCACACTATAGTCCATTTGGTAAGATTTTAAACTTCTTTAAAAGAAAATTTTAGAGTTTTACAGAAAATTTAAAAAGCTGGATATTTTTAAGAAACAACTTTTAAAAATGTTTACATTTATAAGGTTATGGGACATTTTAAAATTTATAAGGCATTTTATTAAAATGTCTTTGTTAATATATGATATTGATAAAGGGTTAAAAATTAGGACCACAGCTAAACTCCAGAGACCAAAGTATCCCTATGTTATGATGCAGTAAGATGGTGACCTAAGCAGTTTGACTAGAAACTTGGAACCACTGGCCTAGAAAATGTCTCTCCTTACTTAAGGTCTATTCAAGTGAACAGAGACTGGTTGAAGATATATGTCTAACCTCCTTGTTTTTTGCTAGCATTGTTATACTGTAGTTATTTTGGTGAACCAAGTCATACAGGAAACTGTTATGTTCTATAATGGCACACTATGTAAGGATCAGAAAAGTTCCTAGTATCTTTATAGACTGTGTTTAAGAATTAAAAGTCTTATCTTGATATTAAAAGAGCTTCAATTAAGAAATTGTTATGTATTCAGATTAGCTTTTTATAAATGTTTTCAAAGTTAAGCCTAAAACAAACATTTGTCTAGTTTAGATATACTTACCAGATAATCATCTTCAAATGCTTCAGAGATATGAGAATATGGCATTTAAAATGTTTAATTAAAAAAGAAAACTTTTCATGATAGAGAGACATGCCAGCTCCTGGAAATACCTCTATCTCCTCCAAAGAAGATGATGGGTGCTGTGGAATAATCTTTTTGTACACTGTAAATATGTATTACTCTCACTGGTTAATAAATAGCTGACTGGCCAATGGCTAGGAAGGATTTTTGGGGGCAGAGAGAATACTGGGAAGAAGGGCAGAGTCTCAAGAATTGCGAGATGTAGAGGAAGCAGGAAATGAACATGCCATGCTGAGATAAGGTATCAAGCCGTGTGGTAGAACATAAATAAAAATATGGGTTAATTTAGCTGTAAGAGCTAGTTAGTAAAAAGTCCAAGCTATCAGCTGAGCATTTATAATTAATATTAAGTCTCTGTGCGGTTATTTGGGAGCGGCTGGTAGTACAGAGCTGATCGGCGGTCCCAGTGAAAAACTCTACCTACAGATGGGCACAGAAGAACCTCTACCTAAAGCTTGCTTTAAATGTGGCAAAGCTAGTCATTGGATTAAAAAAAAAAAAACAAAACAAAAAAACTGCCCTTCACCTCAACTGCTGCCAGGATGCTGTCCAGACTGTGGACAACCAGGACACTGGGGAATTGATTACCCCACTTTGCCTAAACAAGATAGGGCAGTTTCCCCAAGTTCCTACTCCACAGGAAAGTCTGTTGGATTTGAGCCTGGTAGCTGAAGACTGATGCTATCCTCGAACCTCTGACTCCAATGAGCATACAGTAAGCTGGAGTAGCTGTCTAGGTAAGTCTCTGTCATTTTGGTTGGTCCTTTTCAAATTTCTCCATTTTAACAGCTCCTTCCCCCAAGGCTGTAGCCACTTTGTTAGTTCATTACTCAGTACATCCGTTAGTTAAAGCTACTAGGTCTCTCTTGTTAAACAAAGATAGACAGGTTTGCCTTGTTTATAGGCTTCATATTAAAGGATAAACAGGTTTCAGGTATAACTTTCCACTAAAGAAACATGCTTTGTAATGACTGGTCTCAATTAATAACTACTTGTGTCTCTAAAGCTGACTGGATGTAAAAAAAGTGTTCTAGGATACGAAAGCTTAAATTGTGATTAAAAATGACTTAAGGTATGTAAATACAAGTTTTAGGAGTCTGAGGACATAAAGGCTTGAGTTACAAGGGTCTAAGAATGTTCTAAGGTGTGTGGGTGCAATTTGTGAGAGTATAAGAAGGTAGCTTAAAATATAAAAAATGTTTCAGATGTTTTCCTGCTATGCTATCATTATAGTAAGACTTCAAAAGTCCAGAGTTTTGACATTGATTTATAGAGTTCTGATAGGCTGTTAATCTAGCTCTGACAAAGCACTGCTACTAGTCAGTCACAGGCTTGGTATTTTGTTTTCTTTGGTTGTCTTCTAAATGTAGACTTGAAGGTGCTTTTCACTTGGTTAAAATATATATCAGGCTCTCTATACATAGGAGAAATGTTCATGCTTTTTAATCCACAACCATAGCCTTTGCTATGACACCAAGGTGTAAATCTGTTCTAGTCGTTTTACAGATGCTTCTTAACTGCTTTTTCTACAATGTGGATTTCAATACAATTGTAATGCTAATATATTTAGAATGTTTATCTCCTTTGGTAAACTAAAATTCATGTAAGCTTCAAAAACCATAAAGTCATAAGGCTTGGGTCCACCTGCCACAGGTCAAATGAAAAAGTTCTAAATGCAAGGTTTTTCTTTAAATTCTTGAATTTTAACTAATGTTCCTAGTCTATAGCTCAGCAGATTTCCACTTGACTGACAGACACCATCAGGGAGCATCTGCACTGCAAGTGGTTGAGCTTTTTAGACTTACACTGAAAGCTGATGTGAACCAGTCCAGCTGATGCGATTGCTCCCCTTCCTGTCCCTTTACCTGGATCAGCTAAAATCAGATGCTTCTGATAAATGCCCCATTGCCCAGCCTTTGACTAGCCTTTGAGCCTTCCTGGGCCCTGACAATCCATTGAAATGCTCCATTTCAGCTGGAAACAGCTATAGAAGAGAGTACATTGTCCCTGCCCCTGTAACAGGCTATAAAAGGCTAAATCCAAAGCAAACTCTCTGACATAGGGAACAAAATGGCTACCTATAATGCCAATTGATATACCAAAAAAAAAAAAAATGGGCTTAGATTTATCTATAGACAGATTCATTAAATAAAATGATTCCATAATATGACAGGATACTTAACCTGTTTTATGCAAAACAAAGATCATATAGTAACAAAATGGTAATCCCTACCTATTTGGGTACTATTAAGCTGATAGTTATTAGATCCAAACACAAACTGGTACCCATCATAGAGTCAAAGTTTTGACCTAGGATACAACTTCGGGGGGCATGTTAGATCCAAAGTTAACCTATAATCTCCACTTGCCCAAAGACCAGGTAACTTCCTGGGACTCTGGGAGTCATAGTTGTAAAAACAAAACAAAATAAAACAAAACAAAACAAAACAAACAAACAAACAAACCTTCCCAAGGACCAGGTAATTTCCTGGGATTCTGGAAGTTGGAGTTCTTGGAAAATAACAACAAAGCCTCACAGGAAAGTACGGTGGCCCATGGGTTTTGCCCATATAAGCTCTGCCAACACATTTCTCAAGGCCATTCACCTGGAAAATTTCCAAGTGATGGTCCTGAACAAAATTCCATCTTAGTCAGTATTTAATACTTTTAATAAAAGCTTGCTTAAATTTGGCCAAATTGGTGGAACTGATTTTTCAGGTGAATTTCAGGATTAATACTAGCTGTATATTGTTACCACTCACCACACCTGGCAGACTCTAAAGAAAATAGCTTCATTGTTTTTGTACAGTATAGTACAGAAAATAATTTTGGAGTTTCAAAATTATCTTGTATGACCATGCGTCTAGAAATGCCACAAAATATAATAACATAGATTGGAATTTTGCCTTTGGGTTGACTGGCTTAGAGAATAGGTAGAGAGGTATGAAATTGAAAATTCAAAGTGCAGGACTTACAAAAAATTTCATCCATTCATTTTCATCTATTAATTTCTTTCCACTATATTTTTAGTTTTTATTTTAAAAAGTATTTTGTTTTTGTTCTTACTCTTATTCAATTTTACTTACCTATCTTTCATTATCATGTAGTCATACTTTTATACCTTGTTTTTATTTTCTTCTTCCTCACACTGTTTTCCTTTTTGCTCTTTTTCTCTTTTATTGAACCTTGCTTCCTCCTTTACCTCACTTATTAATTAATTTTCATATTTTATTCTATCACATTTTTGCTGTTTCCTTTTCCTTGATAATAGATGGTATAGCAATTGGTGTAACTGATTTTAGCTTTATTTCTGTATTTAATTTGTTCTGGTGTTCTTGCTGTTTCAGTGATCTCTTCCTCTCAGTGGTAATGGACACTGAGCCCACAAGAGAAGGATGGTCACTAAAGAGATCCCAATATAAAACCTCGAAGAACTGTCCATCTGAATACATATACAACCTCAACTTAAAAAAATCAAGATGAAAATTCAGTCCATCACAGTGAGTAGGGCATCATGGGGCAGACCATTGCACCTCATGGTGGTTGAGAAAGGAGAAAAGAAGACTCATGGGTCCCCCTTCCTCTTTATTCTGTGGGATGCTGTCAGCCACATTCAGGGGTGTATTTGCCCCTCAGTTAATCCCTCTCAAGAAATACCCACATAAACACATCACAGATGTGTGTTACCCATCACCTGGGTATTTCTAAATACAATCACATTGACAGTGAAGATTGGCCATCACAAGGTGACCTTGTCACATGTATTGGGGGTAATGGGAAGAACACCTACAAAATGGGAGAATGAGTCTGCCTAGTGAGTGACACCAGGGCTTCTGTGTCTGACTGGAGCTTTAAAGTTAAAAAAAAAAATGAGTTTCCCAAGTGAAATGAACACATACATCATGTGAGAAGAAATAAAATAATTTAAAAAACCGGAATAAGCAAAATTAAAGACAGGAGATCAAGAATTCTTGCATATGTGTGTAATTAAGACTGTGAATGGATATGATTCTTTTGTCTAAAGAGCAAGCAAAGGATGATCCTGGAAATGAAGATCCTGGAAGGTCTAGATTGTCATGTAAAGCATGTTCCCTGATAGGTCTTGACATGCCCCTGAAAAACAATGTGCTTACTATTTGAATTAGGTCTGAATTTTAGATAAATCATTCCAGCAGCTCAGTGGATGATGTATTGCAAAGGGAGCAGGAGGGGAGGCCCAGAGATGGGGAAGCAGCAGTGGCAATGGAGAGACAGCTCAGTGGTTAAGAATACATACAGCTTTCAGAGAGAATCCAAGTTCAGATTGGGCGGATCACAACCACCTGCCATTCCAGTTCCAGAGTATCCGATGCTTTCTTCTGGACTCTATGGCCACTACACTCACATGTATGTACTTACACACAGACACATACACATAATTTAAAAATTAAATCTTTACAAATGAGGCTGGAGAGATGGTTCAGCAGTTAGGAGAACAGAGTATTCTTCCAGAGAACTCAGGTTCAATTTCCAGTACCCACATAATAGCTCACAACTGTCTATAACTCCAGTTCCAAGGGATCCAATGCCCACTTCTGGCCTCTGTGAGCACTAGGTATGTATATGGTGTATGCATATACATGCAGGCAAGTTAAACCATACCCATAAAATAAAATAGAAAAATAATAAACTGAGAAATAGTGCAAAATTCTTTTTTAAAAACAATATGGAGAGAACAGTTATAGTGTTGTTACAGAGGCATCAACTGGAGGTGCCAGGCTTGAAATATGGTCGGTGTTAGAGAAGAACAGATAGGGATAAACTGAGGAACTACACATGCGCCTTTAAGCCAATTTTGGGAGTAAGGGAAAGAATGCCAGAGAGGATGACAGTGTAGTTAAGTATGGATAAATAAGTCACGAGTGGTCATCAACTGAGAAGATGATACAGAGTAAACTTGAAAGGAAAGGGAATGAATTTCAACTTGGAAATGCTGAGATTGAGTTTCTAAAGGATCATTCAAGAGGTTAGTTCTGGTTGGCACACAGCGTTATGAGTCAGAACCTCGGCATGGACTGGAACCGAGACAAGGACCACAAAGCTCAAGAGTGATAGATAAACCCTAAAGGGACTGGTTGAGGAATATTGTTTATTGAGGTCATGATTTCTTTTGAATCTTGTGTTTTACTCACTGAATATCTGTTCTGTTCCTTAACTTTTTTTTTTTTTTTTTTTTTTGAGGTTAGATAGCAGTCCTGGCTTTACTCTCAGGAATACCTTATCTACTTTGAGATGGAATTGATGACTTTGGGTTTTAATGAAATAATAGGATTTCTTTTTTATGTTCCTCCAGTGTCTTTTTGAGGGGGGAAAAGCAACTTTAGAGATCCTGTATAGCTTAGTGAAGACACAATAGAGACTCACAGCAGTTCTACAGTGCTCACCATCGACTGGCAGGGCTTCCGATAGCTCTTTAAGCTCCGCCTCTGTGAGCTTAATCCCCATATTTTCCAGGATGGTGTCAATGTTATCGACATCAACTTTCCCTCCTTTGAAAAACATTAAATTAGAAATGTACAAAAGTGAATAATTGAAAACATTATTTAAACAATCACATACTATTGCTTGATTTAATTAACATATGCTAATGTTAAAATGAAAAAACCTTGATGGTTCATATATTTTATAATATATATATGTGTATACATATAATATATATATATGTATACATATATACATATATGTATATACATATATTGGTTTTTTGAGACAGGGTTTTTCTGTGTAGTTTTGGTGCATGTTCTGGATCTATCTCTGTAGACTAGGTTGGCCTCAAACTCACAAAGATCTGCCTGGCTCTGCCTCCTGAGTGCTGGGATTAAAGGCGTGTGCCATCACCTCCTGGTACACACACACACACACACACACACACACACACACACACACACACATTATTCTGATACACAATATGAATACTAAAACACCGACCTGACTGTGCTCGAGAGAACAGATGAAGTTTGTAGAGTTAAAACATTAAAATCAGAAGCTGTCTCCCTAAGGTTTGTTGTAGAGTCAGACTCATTGGAAAACCTCACTAGAGTTCCTTATGCCTCTTTACCAGCCATACATTTGAACAATAAAGCTTACTCAGGTTTTCTGAAGTTTTGAGTTCGTTATTACCACTATTGCTTGCTTAATTAACTAAACAAACAAATAAACAAAACAAAATAAGACAAACAGAAAACCAGAAATACCTGAAATAATTCTTTTGGAGTAAAATTTGGGAAATTCCAAATTTATTTTGGTTTAAGCAAAGATACATCTAGGACACAATTTGGTAAATTACACATGTATTTAAAAATGTATTAAGCACATATAGGAAATGGCCTATAAATAAGAAACAGGATTTCCTATAAAATGAGTTACTATCTACACCATGAGATTTTTGAGAAAATTCTGTGTTCTTACTAATTTTCTAACTTACCTTTGAGAGACTTCACTTCTTCGAACAATCTATTCTGAAATACCATTTCATCATCTACAATAAAGTAATATTTATTACATATTTTATAATACAAAATCACAAAATTTTAGTAGGCATTTATTTGTGTCATGGATATTAATGTTTTATTTCACAACAGAAGTATTATTGAAGACTATTACATGTACTATGATTACATAGAATTTAAAAATGATATGTCCTTGGATATTTGTATCACATCGCCCTCAAATAGCAATGAATTTGGGAATAGGAAATTTCTGCTTCATGATAAATCTACAGAGTCTGACACTGGGTACCATTTTCAGTTGCTCTGTAGTGTGTGAGATACATGCATAGCCGATAAAATTCCATGATACCAAAATACATATTTTTTCTCCTTTTCTTTCCCTTCTTAGTTTCTCACTCTTCACTTTCCTCTGTACTTTCTTGTTTATACAACCTAAAGTCTTTTGCATAGCTCTTACTAGAACCTAGAACTTATGGCTGAACTTATGCTCCAGCAATTTTCACAGAGAATTAAGTAGAGTTCCTTCCACGTCTCCTGCTACGCCTTGGTGACGCTCCAGTAGTGTCTTGGAGGCTTACCGTCCACAGGCAGGGCTTTCTGCAGATCGGACAGCATCTTATCTGTGAGCTCAATGCCCATGCTTCCCAGAACATCTTGGAGATCACTGATAGCAATCTTGTTACCTTTGAAAAGACAGCAGTGTTGACATTAGGAAAACCAGATATTAAACCTCACTTGTAAGGCATGCTGTACAAATTAAAGTTTAATGTTTATACAATACTTGTCTATGTTAAACCAATGGGAGAGACATTTAAATATTGTCTCCACTGTTAGTTTGAAAAAGATGTTTTCTAATTTTGGAGACTTGACTAAGTGGCAGGGATAAAAGTATATATAAAACCAGAAAATTAGATGTCTAATCAGAAATAACCAGACATTTCTACAAATATACTTCTTTTGATTTAAAATGCAAGATTTAATATTTGAAGCTGGGTAGTGGTGGTTCACTCCTTTAATCCCAGCACTTGGGGTGTAGAGGCCAGTCTAATCTACAGTGCATGTCCCAGGACAGCCAGGGCTACACAGAGAAATCCTGTCTCGAAAAAACAAAAAAATAAATTAATAAAATTAATGTTCCTCAGAGTAACAAAAACATTTTGAATCTCCAAAATTGTTTGTTTGTTTGTTTGTTTGTTTGTTTTTGAGAAAGGGTCTCACTATGTAATCTTGGCTTCCTGGAACTCGCTATGTAGACCAATATGGCCTCGAACTCACAAAGATTCTCCTACCTGTCTCCTGAGTGTGGGATTAAAGATGTGTATCACCATGCCCAGAACATATGTCCAATTTTGTCTTGCCATTTGCTATGAATTTCTAGGATATATGTTTATGTATATGTATATTTTAATGTGCATATTTATATGATAGTAAACAAAGTCCCCCATATAGAGTGTCTCTAGAGACAAGGAAACTGATTCCAAGAGAAAACAAATTGCATTTCAATGCTAAAATCTTGATAATCTAATACCTACTGATGGGGTATCAGAAGCAGAAGCAGATGAATTTTATAATAATTTATTGTTGTAAATGTGTATGTGGATGGTGCCTGTGTGTGCGTGTGTGTGCATGCATGTGCATGTGTGAATGTGTGCGTGTGTGTGTATGTGTGCATGTGCATGTGTGTGTATATGTGTGTGCACGTGTGCACGTGTGTGTGTGTGTGTGTGTGTGTAGGCTGGAGGCTGACCCTGAGTGTCTTCCTCTATTGCTTTCCTCCTCATTCTTCTGTCACTGAACTTGAAAGATAGCAATGGCTAAAGTGGTCCTGGAACAAGCCCCCAGTCCAGCTGTCTCCGCCCCCAGCACTTCAGGTACACATATGTGTTACACGCCTGACTTCTAAGTGAATGTTTGGGATTTGAATTCAGTTCCTCATGCTCATGAGCCAAACTCTTTATCCACTGAGTCATCTCCCTAGCCCCTAAAGACAATTATTCTTTAGCAATGAGTAAAAATGCAGAACTTAAAAGGTTGTTCACGCTACTGATAAAATGCCACTTAAAACAGCAAAGGACGAGAGTTTCAGTTAAACTTACCCACCTGTAAAGGCTCTCATTGCATTGATCAACGTTTTCATTTCAATTTTCCCAGCTGTAAGAAAATAAGCATTCACATATGGACATGATCCTAAGACTCAGAAAACATGGCTCATGCCATTAAATTAAAGAGTATCTATATATGCTAGCATTTTAGAATATTTTAAATACTTCATAAGCATGAATTAGGGGTAAAAAACATTTAATCATGACAAATATAAAAATTCCCAATCTATCATCTTTTACTGATCTAAGTAATAAAAACTTTAATAATAATGTTAATAATGATAAGTTCTAAAGTAGATTGCTTCAAGCTTATGAAAGCTATTTACAATTGACAACTAAAAAACTATCTTTAGATTTTTATGCATACGAGTGTTTTGCCTGCATGTATGTCTGTACACCATGTGTATTGACTGGTATCCATGGAGGTCAGAGGAGAGTGTTCGATACCCTGGAACTGAAGTTCTGGACAGTTGTGAGCTGCCCTGTGGGTGTTGCTCCAAGAGCAGCAAGTGCTCTCAACTACTGAACCACCTCTCCAGATAACTGACAGTTTCTTTTAGGACTAAGAGAAGGTACAAGATATATAATATTTTGATATAGATTTCAGAAATGGCTCCAATATAATTGGCCCATTCTCAGTACTTCTTTGATAAGGAGGAAAACTTTTCTTTAGTTTATTTGCATTGCATGTATAAACTGCAAATAATTTTGAGGGCATTTTTGCCTTCACAGTGTGTGTGGACTTTATGCAGAATGAAAAAATGGTGTATGCGTGTCCCACATTTTAATTTAAAATATGATTTATTTGGGGGCTGGGCAATAAATTTACATCTTTTAAAAGTCAAGTGCTCAAAGGAATATTTTATGGCATGATTCTCCAGGGATCTCTGGTACCCTATCTCCTAGTAATCTTGTTCACTTTAGAAGCAACTACTGTGAGCACCTTCCCTTTAACTTACAAAAATTGATAAATAATAATTGAACATAGAAATATAGTGTGTTGTGAAAGAGGTATACACTGTAGAAAGCTAATCATGTAAATAAGTCACCAATGCACCTGCTTATTTTCTGATGAGAATGTTAATAATTCACTTTCAGCAATTTAAAAATATACACTATTATTTTTCTGTTTTTAATTTTTTAGATTATAATATGCTTAAAACATTTATCTCTTCTTCTTCCTCTTTCCACTCTCCCATACACTCCCTCCCTGCTCTCCTTCAAATTCATGTTCTCTTTTTCCATTAATCATTATTACAAGAATATATGTATACACACATATTCCTAAATATAACATCCTTAGTCTGTACACTGTTACTTGTATGTATGTATGTTTTCAGGGCCGATCATTTGATATTGGATAACCAGTTGTTGGTGTGCTCTTCTCTGGCGAAGGCTATTTCTTTCATTCCCTGTATTCCTTAATTGCCTGCAGTTGTTTTTGTAGGGTTGAGGCCTCATGGGCTTTCCCCCATCCACTTTGGCACATCTATTGGTGTTGTCCTTGTAAAAGTGTACACTACTACTAACTGCAGTAAACATGTTGTACAACTCAATAATGCTCCTATAAAATGAGAACTTTGAATCCTTTAAACATTTATCTCCTTCCTTTCCTACCCCAACTCTCTCCAATCTGGTTGCCTGCCTCCAGTCTTCCTTTGGTTCTATGAGTTATACTTCTTAAACACAGCATCTGCCTTTCTATGTCTAATTTTCCTCCATTGCATTGATTCTTCTCAGGTCTTCTCTCACAGCACCAGGAATGCTAATAGAGGGGGGACTGTGTGTCTAGGGATTTGTCCCTCTCTTCTAGGTCTCCTATGAGCTTTTGTATTTCTATGGTATTGTTTGTAATGTCTCCAATTTTATTAATGATTTTGTATATTTTAGCTTTCTTATTATTTTCTTTATTAGGCTAGCTAAAGGTTTGTCAATTTTATGTTCTCAAAAGCTCAACTTTTAGCTTTGTTGACTTTCCTATTGTTTTTCTAGGCTGTGTTTCACTATATTCTTTATTTATAGCCTTCTAAATTTGGACTAAAATTTTTTCTAGTTCCCTGAAGCATACCTCTTGGTTGTCTATTTGAGACATATCTTCTTCTAAAAGCAGTCAGCAATCTTTCTTCTTTTCTCCTCCCTCTCCTCCCTTCTTGCTCCTCTTCCTCCTTCCCTTCCTTCTTTCACTGTAACAACTTTCTTGATGTTGAAGACTTGAAATGGTCTCGATACTCACTATATAATTTGGATAGTCGTGAACTCTCAGTGATCTGCCTTAGACTCCTAAACGCTGAGATTACAGGCATATGCCATTGATGCCCAGCTACATTTAATCTTCTTCGTCTTCATTTTTTTTTAAACCTATTTTGTGATCTTGTATATGGTCTGTCCTAGAGAACTACCCATGTGTTCAAGGAGAATGTGGATTCTGGTGATGTCAGATGATGTGTTCTAAAGCATATGTTTCCTTATTGATTTCTTGTCTAAATCTGTTCATTGTGAAACTTGAAGTGTTAAAGTCCCCTATGATCACTGTGTTACAGTCTGTTCCCTTCGTCTGCTTTATTAATAGGTGCTTTTCACACATGGATATGCTCCAGTGTTGGGTGCACATATATCTATTCTGTATCCTTTATTATAGTTTGGTCTTTGTCACAAGCTATGCTGAAAGGAAAAGGTGACACTTCTATCATTCCCTCCTACTTCTTGTCTACACTGCAGTCTGAATAATTAAAGATAGCCTGATAGCTGTATCCTTACCAACTGCCTTTACCCAGCTCCTAACTCCAACTTGTATTCTTTCCTGGCATACTAACATTTCTTTCTATATTGCAATTTTGAGCTTGCCAAATAAAATGCATTATTGGTATAAAGTTACTGAATATTCTACAAGTTATTCTTATTTTAAATCTGAAGGTTTTGTTGTTGTTGTTCTTTAGATTTTCTCAATACTTCCTTGTTGCCAAATACAGCTTAGAAGTTGTCAAAAACATCAAACCCTGCACAAGACCTGCCTGCACAAGATCAAGGCCGTTATCAACCCAACATGGACAGGGGAGGAGCTGGCTGGACCCTGAGGAGCTGTTAGAGGGTGATGGCTGCTGAGGGAAGGAGAGTCAGTTTTCTTTGGCATTGTGGTCTGTGGTAGGTTGCTTTGGAGGATGGTCCTATACTCATGTGCATATGGACATCACTAACTGTAGTCAGTAGGTCTTAAAAAAAAGAAAAGGAAAGGAAAGGGAAGAAAAGGAAAGAAAGAAAAGAAAAAAGAAAAGGGAAGCATGAAATTGGGAAGAGGTTGGGAGAGAAGCCTCTGGAAGGAGCTGAGGGGGAAATGGGGCGTGGATATATTCTAAATATATTTTATTCATGTATGAAATTACCAAAGAATATAAATAAAAATATTAAATTAACAAAAAACAGCACTACCACCACCACCACAACAACAAACAACAACCCCAAAAGAACAAAAAATCTTGAGTTCCAGTACTCTTGGGACTGTTAGATCTTACACACTTACAACGCACTGGTAAGCTCTTGGTCATATCGTTAAATTCCGTTCCTGAAACTCTCCTCCCCATGTTTTTCACCACTGTGTCCAGTTTGTTGACATCAGCCTTCCCTCCTTATGGGGAAAAAAAGACCATAAAGAAAAATTGGTGACAAACTGTGACAAATGTAGTTATTTCCTGGCTATTATAAGATTTTCAGTATGAGGGTCAAGATCCACAGAAGTCAATTTAAATGCACAAAATCATAATACAGTGAAATAAAATTTCTTTTCTGAGTCTTTTTTTAAAAAAAATAGAATCAGTCATATTTCAAATGCTTTTAGAGATATTAATATCTACCCACAGAATTAAACAATAAAAATCCCTCTTAGGGGATTTTGGATAGTGCAATGATTATTTGTTTCTCTGATATTTCCATAAATTTTTCCTAGCTCTGCAACAGATTTTTAAATTGTTAATAATTTTCTTTGTTATTCATTGTTTAGATTTCCACTTTATTTTCTGCTACACTAATGACTTGAAAGCTCCAGCACAAAATGGGGAATCTATCTGAGAATCAACAGGACTAGGTGCTAGGATGCAGCTAGCCTTACAGAGGATGAGGCACAGACAGCAACCACAGATTAATAGGAGACATAAAGACACAAGTGGATTGAAGACTTGGCAGTTCAGTAACTATAAAGTGTTACAAATGGAAAATACTAATGTCAGATTAAATTGCCTTTCACTCACTTTTAAGAGATTTCAGAGTGTTCATTAATCTGTTATGGTAGAAATTTCCATCAACTGTAAGGAAAAACACAGTTAAGTCAAGGTAGGATGACTTGGGGTTAATCTTTTGAACCTTAGTCAGTGAACTATTAGTACTGATCATGCCGAAACAGACATCTTAATTTCTGATCATTTCTTTAATTCCCTTCTATGACATCTCTATACTTAAAAAAAATCTTATCTACTGGAATCAAACTTCTTTGTGGAAGTGAGGAAGAAAAAATGAGTTTTGAGGTTAACACTGAAAAATGTTTCATATGTTAGAGGGTTTTACCTGCATGTTTGAATGTACAACACATGAGTGCAGCGGTCACAGAGGTCACAAGAGGACACTGAATTCCCCTAGAACCAGAGTTACAGATGGTCGTGAGCGGTCATGTGGGTGCTGGTAATCAAACCTGGGTCTTCTGCAAAAGCAGCAAGTGCATTTAGCTACTGAGGCTTCTCCCAGCTTTCAAGGTTAATATTTTGACCTAATAGAGTGGATTACCAGATTTTTTTTAATCACAGATAATTCATATACATATAAGTGTGAAAGGCAAATTTAAAAACCTTCAGAGGAAAATACAGGATATTTTTATGAGTTTGCAGTAAAAATACATAAAAATTCAAATCTTAAAAGGAATTTACATAAATTTGAAGAGCATATGCGTCGTAATGAAAATGTAAAGCCATATCAACTTCAAGGAATATTTGTTAAATGTAATCAAAAACTTAGTATTTAAAACAAGCAAGCAAAGTGAGAGCTACCTTCCCCATACTTGCTTTATAAATAAAGTTTTACTGGTGCACAGCTATAACAATTTTTTTAACCTGTTAACCATGGATAATTTTGGCCTACAACAAGAGAGCTGAGCAGTTTTGATAGAGGCAGCAAAGCCTAGAATATTTGCCATCTGGCTTTTTGAGGAAATCATTTGCTTGCTCTTGGCATGGAATACAAAGAACTTTTACAAAGAAGAAAGAAAAATAGAAGCCAACTAGGAGACTATAAGGCAAAAGTCACAAGATGGGCACTTTACAAAGAATGAAATAACTTTATAAATATATGAAAATATCCATCATAGATTACCCGACATTTGACAATATGAGGCATGGGGAAGCAAAGGGAGAAATTATTCTGGAGCAGTCATGAGTTTGTTAAATAGTCTGGGTTCCATCTTCCTTAAGGTGCATGGTAGGATTCCCAGCCAAACACAGTTACATTTTCCAAGGACATTTCTGCCCTAAGATATTTCTTTGCCTGTTGGACAGTCTGAAAATTTAAAGACAATAAAAGAACACAAGAAGGGCTGGTGAGGTGACTCAAGGGTAAAGGTACCGGTTGTCAAGACTGATGACATGAGTCCAGCCTTTGGGACACACATGGCAGAAGGAGACATGCGCAACATGGCATGAGGCACACACACATACATACACATAAACACACACACACACACACACACACACACACACACATATTAAAATGTTTTGAAGGAACATGAGAAAAGGTTTGGGAATAATGCAATTAGTACCTTGACCATGGATGGTCACAGTACTATGGGTAAAATGTGACATTAAACACACGTGACTTTTTGTCTATCAAACTACTACCAGAAAAACATGAATAGAAATAGCATAGGATCTCTCAATCACAACAAAAAAAATAGGACAGACTATCTAAAAAATGACAATGCAAGTATTAAGTTAAAGGAAGGTTAGTTATTATAACAGGAATATATATATATATATATATATATATATATATATATATTCATTATTTAGAATTTTAAGGAGGTATCTATCAGAAAAATATACACATTTATTTATTTTTGTGTATGTATATATGTTTGTATGTATGTATGTATGTATGTATATATGTATAGTGAGTGTTTTGCCTGCAGGTGGGTCTGTGTACCATGTGTGGCCAGCAGAGGCCAGAAGAGGGCATCAGATGCCCTGGAATTGTATTTACAGATGGTTGTGAACCACCACGTATGTGGGTGATGGGAATTTGACCCTGGTCCTCTGCAGGAGCAGCCACTGCTCATTACCAATTAGCCATCTCACCATCACCTCTAGAAAAATTTTAAAAGCCCATTTGCTTTTTTCCTTCTTGGAAGTGCAACTAGTGAAGATTCAAATGAGAGTACTATTCCTCTTTATTATAAGGGGCATTTGGGGGTATTGTTTTATTTTTCCTACATAAAAGCATTATTTTATCTAAAGAATTGAAGAAAAGTTAAACGGCCCAGCTGGGCTTGCTCGAACAGCATATCTGGGACATCTCTTCTTACTGTCTCCCTGGCCATCAGAAGGAAGATCAGTAAAGTCCTCATAAGCGAGCTTCTGCTCAAGCTCTCCTGATGCCTACAGTGCTGCTCACATGCTTACCGTCCACAGGGAGATTTTTCAACAGGTCTGCATATTCTTGCTGTGTGAGCTCTACTCCCATGCCTTCAAGAATATTCTTCACGTCTTTGATATTTTCTTCATTTCCTGAAAAAAAAAAGAAAAGGTGACAAATTTATATGTTACTCTGAGACTAGATGATATTTTAAAATAATTATTTGTGGGGCTAGAGAGATGGTGTGGCACTGGCTGCTCTTCCAGAGGCCCTGCATTTGATGCCCAGTACCCACATGGTGAACCACAACCATCCTTAACTCCAGTTACAGAGGATTTGGTACCCTCTATCCTGGGCACCATGCATACATGTGGTGTCCAGACATACATGCAGGCAACACACACACACACACACACACACACACACACACACACACACACACAGATTAAATAAATATTTTTTTTTTGTATCAGGTGCCATGAAACATGCCTCTAATTCCATCACTCAGGAGGTAAAGCCAAGAGGCTCTTTTAAAAGATCAAGCCTAGCATGGTTGATATAGTTTGAGGCCAATCTGTGCTATATAGGGAGACTCTGTTTCAAAAAATAAATGAGGGACAGGAGAGATGGATCAGTGGTTAAGAGTAGTGGCTGCTCTTCCAGAGGACCTGAGTTCAATTCCTGGCACCCATGTGGCAGCTCACAACCGTCTGTAACTCCACTTCCAGGGGATCTGACACCCTCACACAGACATACATGGAGGCAAAACATCAATGTTTATAAAATAAAAAGAAATAAATCATTTAAAAAAAAACTAAAATAAAAAAAAAAACTGAATGAACAAACAGTTGTGACTCTTCGGTGTTAACCTCAATTGCTAACTGAACAAAAAAGCACAGGCCCCACCTAACCACTGCTAATGTGGTGAAAAAGAGGACTTCTCGTCTTTGTCCTAGTAAGTCAGGTGATTTCAGATATATCAAATATAGCGCACAATCAAACATTCATTGAAGAATTCATTTTATATTTTAACCATTTGGACAATTGATTAAAATAGTCATATGTTGAATGGCTTTGTTATTCAAATTATGTTTATATTTTTACCAAACATGATTTTATAATTTATACTTCTGCATTTTTTAAGGGATAGAGAAGCGAAGTTACATTAATTAAAAAAAAGATAGAGCAAAGGGATCTTACTGTTAACAAAGAACAGTTCAAAGAATTACCCTTAAAATATAGACAATTCAAAGTCATAATTGTGACTAACTAGATGTTAGCAAGAGCAAAAGAGAAGACGAGAGGCATCAAGACAGTTACTACTTAGTGATGAGAGTGACATCATTGAATAGATTTATAGATGGATTTATAGAAAATCATGTCTCACCTATGAGAGCTTTTACTTCATTCATCAAGTCTTGGAAATTAACTTTCCCATCACCTATAAGAACAGATATTAGGACACAAACATTGTCAAAGAGAAAAAATATGCAAATAAAATTTACTTGACCCAAGCAAATTCTCCCTATTATGTTCTGAAAATCATCCTTCAATTGTAATGATTAGCTCTTAGGAAGCTGTGACATATCAGCCAAAGGTACTTTGTCCCCATTTCTTAACTAAGAGGTGATTTTAAGGATGTTAACTTTATAACAATTTGTTTTCTACTTACGCATTATGTTCTGCAATTAAAGTACTAATTAAGAAGAATACATGGACTAAAATGCCAATTAAAGAAAAAATATTTTTAGAGAAAATTTAGTTTGTAAGGTTTACAAAAAGCATGAAGATTCAGATGGATGATAAAAGATGAACCATGTACGTGTAAAACACAGTGCTGTGCATAAGACCCATGCAAGCCCCAAACTGGACCAAATCTACTGTGGCAACATGAAGGCAGGGAGCATTAAAAGACACAAAAAGGACATTTGATGATAATAAGATTATTTAAATGGAAAAGATAACCAATCTGAATCTGTATGTACTTAATACAGTTTCATATCTGTAAAGCAAACATCAACAAAACATCACAGCTTTAGACTAACCCACAGTCTAATGCCTGCTAGCTGTTCGTTCATTTGAGAGCCCCACCCTAGGGGACACTGCTCTGCCAAGGACTCTTGTTTTGGGGAACTCCAGCTGCTGCCTTCATGGGACTTCCTCAGTCCACTTCTGCCTTCATGCTGTAAGCCCTGCTTTAATGATGTTACTTTCTGCTCATTTGTTCTTTCACGGGAGAGGATGCTCCCCCATCCCTGGAACTCTATTGGGATCTCCAGCTGACGACTGCCTTAGGGCTTCATCAGTTGGTTTCTGCTGGATGCTCTGAGCACCTTATTTGATGTCTGTCTGTCTCTTCTTTTACTTTAGACTGTAATATACCCAATTAATTCTAATAATTTGACCCCAAGCTGAAATTTGCATTTGGAAATTAAAAATAACAATCTTGGGAAAACTCAGCAAGGTACAAAAGGAGAGTTCAGTGAACTAGTGTGCAAGGGATGAGCTATACAAGCAGAGCAGTTAACTACAGAGCTCACCGTTATCTGGTAGGTTTTCTTTTAATTGATCCAGCTCCTTTTCTTCGAGCTTGATTCCCATGGTTTCCAGAACAGTGTTTATTTTATTTGTTTTAACCTTTCCTCCTTAGAAAAAGAGGTATAAAGAATGAGAAAATAAATTAAAATGAGAGGTGCTTTAAGTATTAGAAATGTTTGTGTTACATTAAAATACAAAGTAAAGAAAACAATGCATTTCTAGATACAAAACTGTTTTTAAATATGGTTGAATACCATTAGAACTCTGTACTAAATAACAGCACTGGTAAAACTCCAAATTAAAACAGAAGAAAATGAATGAAGTGCAAAGCAGAGGGATTTTGAAACAGGACTAGCTGCTTCCACGGAGACTTTGAAATTTTAGTAGACCTGGTTTATCCATGCCTGAAGATAGTTTTTGAGTATACATTATGAAAAAGAGGGGGAAGCTCTTATTGGTTTAAAAATACATACCTGTCTCTATAAACTACCTGTGATGATAGCAGAGACATGAGTAGAATTTTCTGAAGCTGAACATGAATTGGGGATGGTTGTGTGTGGAGAAGAAAATGATTTTAAAATTATAAAGCAGGGGCCAAAAGATTAGAGAAGCTTGTTAACATGGGGTCCATGGGATGAGAGACCCACCAGGGAGAGTTACCTGCGAGGCTCCTGGCAATCAGTGCTTCATTTTTTAATGAATTTTTTAAAGACATTCAATTGACTTAATGGTAACATTTTTCAATTATAAAATGTGCAGCACCGTGAACTTTCACATTAAATTCTTTAAGGAAGATTTTGGCTGTCTTCTTCCAAAAGGCCTAGGAATGCCAGGAAGCCCCCTTTCTACCACAGGAGCATTCCTCTCAACAGGTATCAAATGTAGAGAGAGCTTCTAGCTCTTTAGTCATTCCCCAAATTCCTCCTCTTTTTTGAAGTAATTAGTGGAAAAAACCTGAGCTATAATCTTACATGTTTGTCTACAGTTTTTCTTAGCTAGATGTCACTAAAAAGATGTTTTAGTTAAAGAAATAACAGTGAAATAATGGATTTTGTTCTGCCAGCTCACCAGGCAGAGGCACCTGCCACCAAGTCTGATGACTTGAATTTGACCCCTAGGACCCACATGGCAGGAGGAGAGAACCAACTCCCCCAAGTTGTCCCCTGACCTCCTCAGGTACACCATGCATCCACACAGGTGCTCATACACACAAAGTAAGTTCTTGTAAGAGGAAAACAATGCTTAATATTTCTGACAGTGAATGTGATTAATCTGGGGTCACCTGCACTTCCTTAGCTAATTCCAGGGTCATTCTTGTCATCGTTACACTTTATATATCTATCTAGAATTCAAATGACAATTTGACAGTTTATTTTGAAAAATTTAAGAGTTTGTGAGACCTTCTACAAAGACAAAAACAAGTCATAGAGGTAAAAATGTTTATAGTGAAGAAGGTAAATTCAGAAAGAAGGGTATGATATCTCTAAAAACACAACTTAAACATCAATTTTCAAATTGCTTGTTACTCACCTTCAAAAGACTTGACCTCATTCAACAATCTGTTTTTATAGATCTTCCCAGATTCTATAATAAAAAACATATTTAATGTCAAGTAAAATGTGATACAGATGCTCATAAAAACACATATTCCTTTCTTTCTCCTTATTGCAATCATTTTATTAGGTTTTTCTTTTGAGGTGTGGTCACCGTAGCATAGGCTCGTCTTGAACTTATGCACCTCCTGAGTACTAGTATCAGAGACCTGTGCAAACACACTCAGCTACACACATTTCTCTCTTTCAGGAAGAATTTTTACTATTTATTGAATAAATATGTTTTTATGCCCCCAATAAAACCTGAAGAATTTAGAAATGAGAACTATCAGTCTGACAGACTATATAATTTAAACACCTGAGATAATTTTTATTTTAGAATTCCATACATGGATACAATGTATTTTTATCACAGCCATCTGCCTTGTACACCTTCCTGTGTCTTTATCTTAAATTTACATCCTCTTCCTCTACAATTATTACTGTTATAGATAGCGCAGTCTATATCATACTGAATCTCATCAGTGTTGGCACATATGTGTGGGCCTATGGTTGACCACTTCAACATGGGCAACCTATCCTAGGCCTGACCTTGGAGAAAACTGACTCTCCCATCTTCAGCAACATCCGCTTCCTGTAGCTCACAAACTCTGCAGAATAGCTGTCTGCGCCTGAGAAGATTTTAATAGGCTCAGCTATGCTGATGCTCATTTCTTTCTTTCATTTTCCTTCTTTCACCTGATTCTAAAAATTGATTACATCAGCAGCTTCCTTTTGTTTTCTTTCTTAGGCTAGCGTTGCACCTGGCTGGAGGGGCTGACAGTCCAGTGCCTGCTTATGCCCCGATGTTCTGGATTAAAAGGGAGAGGGTGTTTCTATACACAACATAAAACTTTATTCACAAGATGTTTGAGATACTATGTACTAAAAGAAGGAACCTCCCCACAGTCCTATGAAGCTGAGCTCCCGTCACACAACGCACCGTCAATAGGCAGCTCACTCATCAGCTTCATCCGTTCTCTATCTGTCAGCTCAAGGCCCATTTTGTTCATCATAGCAGGAAGAAATCTCATGTCCAACTTTGATCCTTTGAAAAATATAAAATATTACCATCCTAAACATTATAAATATTTCAAGAGGCAATGTAACGTTAAAGAAGGGTTTTTAAATCTGAGAGAAAAATTAAAAACACTAAAATATATGTTTATAGAATCAAGATGGTCACATGCCATATTTACTGCTTACATAGAAATGTTGGGACATATTTTATGATTTGAGGCTGAGTCAAAGGAGAAGGGAATAAATTTCATTTGTATGACTCCTAATTAAGATATCAGAATCAGTTCATCTGTGCGT